TGGATTGTGTATCCATTTAGTGGAGGCTAGGACGCCCTTTGGCCACATCTGGTGGTTAGTGTGTCCGTGTAGTGGAGGTGTGATATACCATTGACCATATCTAGCGGAGAGATTAGTTAATCTTTGTGATTGGTTTGGACTAATCATTCTTATGTTACAGTTTGCGTTCCCGAATAATGATTCTTTGAGTTGGTAAACTCAAGTGTAAATATTTCCATACAATGTGAAAATCCCCTAATTACTTAAGTCTTTATCCTCTTCGAATGGCTTAAGTTAAAAAATTAATTAGAAACCTTCTAGATCTGATTGGACCCATAGGATAGGGGAACTCACTAAGATTAGTATCTCACCCCCAATATTATTGTTATTTTTCAGGTGTTTATTGCAGGTTTCATGCAAGAGAAGTTGTATGTTGATGTTTCGAAGGATTCAGAATATTATGATCTTCCGATGTGGATTGTATGTAATGAAGAAAATCATATTTGCATATCACATGACAGACAACAAAAGTTGGTTCATCATGTTGGATGAATCATTCAAGAAGGAAATCATATTTGCAGATCAAAAGCATGTTACATCAGAAGGAAAGTGAAACATTGAAGTAGTGAGAAAAGATGGTCAGAAGGCAGTCATCATTGATGTCTTGTATGTGCCCTCTATGACAAGTAACTTGATCAGCATTTGTTAGTTACTTGCAATAGGGTAAAAAATAAATATGATGGACAATCAAATTAATGTGTTTAATGGTGAAGGAAGATTGATCATGAGACCACCATTAGCAGACAACGATTGAGATAAAAAAGGTTGATCATTAATATCTTGTTTCGACTACATCAGAAGACAAGAACTAGTTGTGGCGATATAGGTATGGACTTGAACTTTAGAAGTTTAAGTATGACCAACATGAATAAAATGGTGTATGGTCTACCTCAGATAAAGGAGCTAAGTCGGATATATGAAGAATGTTATAGAGCAAAGCAAGCAAGGAAATCTTTCAAGCATGGCCTTCCTATTAAGGCCAAGTAAAGACTGGAACTTGTGCATTCTGATGTTTGTGAACCTTTTGAAATTTAGTCGAATGGAGTTAATTGTTACTTTCTTACTTTCATAGATTAGTATACAAGACATATTTGGATTTATCTATTTAAAAGGAAGAGTGAAGTGTTCACGCAGTTCAAGGGATTTAAGTTGCATGTCAAAAAACAAAGTGAGTGCAACATTAAGAAATTGAGAAATGATGATGGAGGTGAGTATACTTCAAAGGAATTTACAAGATTATGCAATGATGAAGTTAGAGAGCATGAGCTCATTGCACCTTATACACCTTAGCATAAGGGATTAGTTTAGAGGAAAAATAGAAGTATACTGAACATGGAAAGGAGTATGTTGAAATCCAAAGAAATGCCAAAGAGATTCCGAAGAGAAGCAGTTTTGATAGTAGTATACATACTCAATAGATATCCAACCAAGAAAATAAGGCACGGGACACCTTATGAGGCTTGGATAAGGATCAAGCCAGATGTTAGTCATATTAGAGTATTTTGATCAATATGTTTCATGCATGAAGATGAGCAGTTGAGAAGGAAGCTAGATGATCGAAGTCAAGTCATGGTGCTCATAGGTTATCATTCAACTGGTGCTTACAAGCTATATTCACCAAATGATAATAAACTAATGATAAATATGGATGTTCTGGTAGATGAAAGAAAAGGGTAAAATTGGACTCAAGGATCATTTCGACACGAGCAAGACACAGTCCCAAATATGCTTAAAGAAGACCATCAAAATGAAGTCACAACCACACAAAATGAAGAACCACTTGTTAAGAATGTTAGAAGATCGACTAGAAGAAGAATTGAGTCAATAAGGCTAGCTGGATATGAGAGATTTCCATATCAAGCAATTGCTGCAAATAGTGACCTCATAGAAGAAGTGATGATGATGATTGAATCAGAACTAATTAATTTGGATCAAGCCATGAATGATTCAAATTAGTTGGCAGCCATGAAAGAAGAACTCATAGAAATTGAGAAGAGTAAGACATGGGAGTTTGTCAAAAGATATAACAAGAAACCAATAGCTGAAGTTGATGCCAAGTGATGAAATTGTCAAGTATAAGGCGAGATTATTGGCAAGAGATTTTCTACAAAAACCTGGTATCTACTTCAATGAAGTTTATGCACCTTTTGCAAGGTTGGAAACAATTAGGATTGTTGTGTCGACTACAGCATACAAATGATGCAAGATACACCAATTAGATGTTAAGTCATCATTTTTGAAGGGACCATTGGAAGAATAGGTCTATGTCAGTCAACCACCAAAATTCGAAATTAAAGAGCCGGAGAAGAAGGTGTACAGATTAAGGAGTGCTCTGTATGGCTTGAAGCAAGCTCCAAGAGCTTGGAATAAGAGAATCGATGGTTTCCTAATTAAGGCATAATACAAAAAATGGGTTTCAGAGCATGGAGTATATGGCAATGATGCATAAAGAGACACTCAAATCATCCTATATCTATATGTGGATGATTTTTTATCACAGGACCGACGAGGAAACGATTATGGAGTTCAAGACTGAGCTGGTGCAGGAATTTGAAATGTCTAACATAGGAAACTTGTCGTACTTTATAGGGATGAAATTGAAAGACACGAGTTATGAAGTGTTCATGCACCAACAGAAGTATGTTCAAGATGTCTTGAAAAGATCGAAGATGAGCAACTATAATGCGACAGTCACACTTCTGGAGACAAAAGCAAAGTTGCAAAGAGAAACAAATGATGAGTTTGTAAATCCAATATTATACAAACAAACCATTGGGTCTTTAAGGTACTTATGCAATACCTGGCCTGACATTTGCCTTTGGATTTTTGAGAAGGTTTATGGTTAAGTCACAAGAATGTCATCTCACTGCAATCAAAAGGGTGATGTGATACATAAAGGGAACAATGGATCATAAAGTGTTAATTCCAAAGTAGAAGATCATCAACAAAACTACAGAAGTGTATGGCTATATCGATTCTGACTTCAGTGGAGACCGAGATGAAAGGAAGAGTAATGTAGGTTACATATTCATGATTCGCAGAGTACCAATCTCTTGGAGCTCAAAGAAGTAAAGGATAATGGTCTTATCATCTTGTGAAGCTGAGCATGTAGCAGAATCATATGCAGCTTGTCAAGCCTTATGGATTGAAATGCCACAGAATCATATGAACTTAAAGTCATAGAATCGAAGAAGATGAAGTTGTTTGTAGCCACAGAACTAGTCAATCATATGATGCGTCATGGAATGGGTAAGCATATAGAAAGAAGGTGTCACTTTCTTAGAGATCAAGTGAACAAAGGAAAGATCGAGCTTGAGTATTGCAAATCAGAAGTGTAATTGGCGGATTTGCTTACAAAACCTTTGAAGAAGACAAGGTTCGATGATTTGAAGAAGCTTATTGGAATGAGAAGTTTAAAAATTTGAATTAGGGGTGTATTGTTCGTATTTCAAAGCTTTCTAATTAGTTGTGCTCGACAAGAAGATGCGTTGTGTTTTGATGAGAAGTCGAGTTGTGTTACGACTTGGAGTTGAGGTCGAGTTTTTAAAGTGAAGTCCCAAGCTCGACAAGTATGTTAATTTGACATAAGGATAATTTCGTCTTGAGTGTAGAATTTAACAGGAAACACGTATTTGCACAAATTATTTAGATAACTGTATATATAAATACTATTGTAAAATATTCTTATGAAATACAACCGCTCAATTTTGCTCAACCGTGTTCATTCACTTTCCTCTTTCTTAATGTAATATAAACATATGTGCTAATCGCTTTTTGAATTTGTGGTGTAATTTTTTTTTTTTTTCATGCAAAGATGAACACAATATGTTGAATTGGGTTTGAATATATATTGTGCCTCCAATTATTCACGTTGCTTGTAAAATATAAGCACATTTAAACAAAAAAAAAAAGAAGCAATAATTCAACTGAACTAACCATTCTAAAAGGAGATTAAAATTTGTAGGTGAACCGTCGGGTCTTTTTATGGAGGATAATTTTTAAAAGCCATATGAAATATATTGTTTAAAAATAAGCCATATGATATGAAATATATTGTTTAATAAAAGAGCTAGAACAAGGAGTAAGAGAAGAGCAAAACTAGTCAAGCAACTGTCCAGAAATTCAAAAGTTTGTTTATAAAACAATCACAAACACATTTTTTTTAAATCCGAATGTACTTGAACAAAAATTGTTGGAGCATATATAAACTTGTGGAATTTAAATGAATTATAACTGAGATAGAGGACTTCTACTGATATTATAATTTTTTACGGAGTGTTTCTAACAGAATAAACATGTTTAACTATTCGAAATAAAATTTAAACCTTTCCCACAATTTTTAAAAGAGGTCCTACAATTGTGATTTCAACTGCAGCACCACAATTTTAAGTTATCTGCAGTTGCAGCAACTAATGGTATTTTCGGATCCACATTGACACATCAACAAACATCAGGACCCGATGTATACTGAAGGTGAATATCATGAAAATACAATGTTAATCTTGTCAACAGCCACGCTATTTCATGGCAATTTCACAAAAACTCAACCTTGATCCAGACGTACATTCAACATAGATATACATAGTGAGATTTGATGTGTCAATCTAGATCCATGCCAACCATTCGTAGATCCTTCAGTATCAAAGGTTTAAGTTTCAAGTTTCAACCTTTGACCTTAACTTCATTACAAGGAGTACTTAAGACTACTATGACTTTCATTAATCCGTACCAGAATCATATATTCATCAACCCAAACAATTTTTATCTATCAGGTAAAGTGAGATATTCAACAATTCTTACATGAAGGGAAATCATATATTCATCAATTTTTATGTAACAGGTAAAGGGGGATATGCAACAACTTTTACATCAAGGGGAACCTTAAAACCAGCCATACTAGTCTCTAATCTCATTGCATGAAATTCTGTTCAACATCACACATTCACACTTGCATAGTGGAATCACACATCGTCTTCATCCATGTCACTCCCAAGCCTCTCATTTGCAACCTTGGAATCATTATCATCATTTGCAACCTTGGAATCATTATCATCATTTGCAACCTTGGAACCATTATCATCATTTGCAACCTTGGAATCATTATCATTTGCATCCGCCAAATCACATTCTTCTCCATCCATGCCACTCACAGACTTCTCATTTGCATCCTTAGAATCATTATCATTTGCATCCTTAGAATCATTATCATTTGCATCCTTAGAATCATTACCATCAGCTCCATCCATGCTAGTCACAGACTTCTCATTTGCATCCTTGGAATCATTATCATTTGCATCCGCCAAATCACATTCTTCTACACCCATGCCACTCACAGACTTCACATTTGCATCCTTGGAATCCTTATCATTTGCATCCGCCAAATCACATTCTTCTACATCCATGGGACTCGCAGACTTCTCATTTGTAACCTTGGAATCATTATCATTTGCATACTTATAATCATTACCATCAGCTTCATCCATGCCAGTCAGAGACTTCTCATTTGCATCCTTTGAATCATTATCATTTGCATCCGCCAAATTACATTCTTCTACATCCATGCCACTCACAGACTTCATATTTGCATCCTTGGAATCCTTATCATTTGCATCCGCCAAATCACATTCTTCTACACCCATGCCACTCACAGACTTCACATTTGCATCCTTGGAATCCTTATCATTTGCATCCGCCAAATCACATTCTTCTACATCCATGCGACTCACAGACTTTTCATTTGCATCCTTGGAATCCTTATCATTTGCATCATTAGAATCATTACCATCAGCTCCATCCATGCCAGTCACAGACTTCTCATTTGCATCCTTCAAATCATTATCATTTGCATCTGCCAAATCACATTCTTCTACATCCATGCCACTCACTGATTTCACATTTGCATCCTTGGAATCCTTATCATTTGCATCCGCCAAATCACATTCTTCTACATCCATGGGACTCGCAGACTTCTCATTTGTAACCTTGGAATCATTATCATTTGCATCCTTAGAATCATTACCATCAGCTCCATCCATGCCAGTCACAGACTTCTCATTTGCATCCTTCAAATCATTATCATTTGCATCCTTGGAATCCTTATCATTTGCTTCTGCCAAATCACATTCTTCTACATCCATGTGACTCCCAGACTTCTCATTTGTAACCTTGGAATCATTATCATCTGCATCCTTGGAATCATTATCATCATTTGCATCTGCCAAATCACATTCTTCTCCATCCACACCACTCCCAGACTTCTCATCTGTAACCTTGGAATCATTATCATCTGTAACCTTGGAATCATTATCATCTGCATCCTTGGAATCCTTATCATCTGCATCCTTGGAATCCTTATCATTTACACCCGCCGAATCACATTCTTCTTCTTCTTCCATGTCACTCGCAGTCTTCTCTTTCCCATCGGGCGAATCAGTATCAATTCCATACGTCGAATCGCTATCATTTGCCCACATCAAATCGTCATCATTAGCATGTGGCGAATCATTATCAGTTTCCTCCTTATAATCACTAAAACCATTTTCTCCACTACCAAAACCCTGTGTGTTGTCTGTGGATACTGATCTCACAGCTCTCTCTTCAGTTTCCAAAATACTAGAGAACCAGGCTGTACCTTGTTTTGCATAAAACAGCATGTATGCCTGCTGAGCCAGGACATGTTCTTCAGAAACACCAAAAACCTGAAACGGAATTTATTATCAGAAAACTAATAATTCACATTTGATCTAATTAATTATAACAAAACTACATTAAACATTCATTAAATAGGCACAATCTATCTGCAAAATAAACTTCTGAAAGAAAAAAATAAACATTGAATTTAGTAGTAAATTACATTTGCAAATTTAAAGTATGTATGCAACTTACAACTTTTCAAAATCACTTGCTCTAATTAATCAATGTAAAACGGGAAAGCTATACTATAGGAAGAAATTTCCATAGAGACTTTACCTGAGCGTCATCCATCAAATGCCATGTGTCTTCATCAGAACGCACATAGCTAAAGTAATGCCCTGAATTAGCTGTGGATCCGCTATGCACAACAACCGCGTATAGATCATACATCAAAATCGGCTGTTACATAAAAATGAGTAAAAAAAATCAAATTTGCATGGAGAAATTGGAACAGTTATTACAGTCTGGACTGCAATTGCAGCCTAATATAAATGACTATGAGGTCTGCTCAACTAGATCACAACTGTAAATTCATTTGCTAAATTCATTTGCACCAGTCTCAATTTTTCCCTATTTTGCTGCAGTATAAATGTTTGGAGTGTAACCGCAGAGGAACCACAATGTATAACCATGATTGGAACACAATTGAAATACCCGCAAAAAACTAGAAAAAATGTAGGAAGGACTAAAATGAATTCTAAACTTACATCTTCCCTGCCTTTAGCAGATGTATAAGGCTCCAAATCCAACTTCGGAGTGAAATAAACATGATTTTCAATCTTTTCATAAGTGCTTCTGTCTTTTTTAAACCTTTTCAAATGTAGTACTGCAATTTCTGGTGCCTTATCAATCAAAAGCTGTTTCTCCATGTATACTTCTTGGTCGCAGCTACTACATTTAAACATCCCATCCATATTTTCTACCATGATATAAGAATCCAGAGCCCTTTGAACGGTAATCTCGTTATCTACAGCTAAACCCAAGTCAAGTATTGGCTCAATGGTATCAGAAGAGAAACCACAGCTGCGACATCGAAGCTGAATAATAACAAACATCAAAATAAGTAGATAAAATCATCTATGAATAACATTTAAAAAAATAAAAAGAGTGAATGTGCATCATACTTGGCTAACAGTTTTGCCTCCAAATATTTGTTCAATTAGATTATGTCGACCTTGTTCTGGAAAGGCACTTTTTAGTTTATTCAAGGCACATATCATAAACTCATGAGCATCCTCCTGGCTATGCGCTACAAAATTATCTGAAAAATCTGTTACCATATATGTCATGGATCACAATTTATACCACAGTCAACTATTAAAGAGATGAATTTCCACAATTAGCAACCATCAAAAAATCAAAGTAAAAAGGAAAAAAGGATACGGTTCACATTAAGAAGAAACAGTGTTGGACGAATTGTGTTTCGAGAAGGATGTAAAGCTTGGTCATTGTGGTTGCGGAAAGCACAAATAACGCAGAAACCACGTAGATGACCTGAAAACGAAAATCAATTCAACTTCCATATTAAAATAAATCAAAATCTTGAACCTTATTTGATCTCAAAATGAAGAAAAAAAATTATAAAAAAATAAAATCCGTACATGGAGAAGCATGAAAGCAATAACGAAGGCCAGTTAACATTTGTCCAGTATGTGTTAAGCACTGAAGAATCGCAGCCATAAAACAAGTGTTTCTCAGATTCTCAATTCCAGCTCCCTTCAGAAAGAATCACACACACAAAAGAAAAAATCGATTCAGTTCTTCATGCATGCGTCAATAATTTACCAATTAATATCATCACAAACAAATAACTACAATTAATTATTAAAAATGAACAATAATGATGATGATAACGTACCACTGATAAAGGTGTCGGAACTGGTATATCAGTATTACCGGCATGATCAACGGGAACGTAACTCATTGAAGGGGACATGGCGGCAGAAATTTTACGGCGACGAAGATTCACTTCATGATCCCAGCGATTAGGGTACTGTTCATCGATAACTTCAGCGGGATCGATAGGATCGGCAAGAGCGGAGATTCTTTCATCAATATTGGTCGGAACTGGAGGAGTCCAATCTTTTTCAAGAAATCCAAGATCCGGAGCATTTTCCTCAGTAAGAGGAAAGATCGTGTTCAGCGGTACCGGTTCATCATACGAAGTCGACGGAAGAAACTTGAATAAATCCTCGCCGAAAACGGTTGGTGGTGATGCTGGTGGAAGAGTAGACCTAGAAGGACTTAGACGGTTCAGTTCTTCCACCGGCATCGGAAGATACTTGAACAAATCCTCCACGAAAGCATCTGTGAATTCGACGGGGATCAGCGGCGGCGGCGGCGGCGGTGGTGGTGGAGTAGAACCAGAAGAGAAACCGTGACGTTTCGGTTCGTGGTGAGGTTTGGGATTTGGTTCGGGAGTGCAGGGTTCTGGCATTGCTCTTTTGCGAGACTCTGAAGCAGGTTCGGAGTTTATAGGTTCAGGTTGAGGTTCGGAGTTTATAGGTTCAGGTTGAGGTTCGGAGTTTATAGGTTCAGGTTGAGGTTCTGAGTTAGTTCGTTTGGGTGAAGAAGGAGAAGGTGGTTCTTGTGATAGGGCTTGAGTGCTAGGACGAATACACATTTTTGGAATTTCTGAAATTGTAACTAACTACGAATGGCTTTGATTTAGTGAAATTGGTTATTTATATGAATCGGGTTATGGCGATTAGAATTCTTTTTTCTAGTGTTGTTGGTTGTTGTGAATGCGAGAGTGATGAGAGAGTGTGTGAAGTGTTCTACAGTGTTCAAAAAAACAAGTAAATGGAGGGAAACCTTGCGGGAGATGAGGTGTAACTGAAACGTTTTTCAGTTAGCTTCATTCAAGTCAAATAACTTCTTTATTACTACTACTTCAATCACTATTAAAAAGATAATAAATATTTAACTTTATTTCTAAAATATCACTCTCTTATCTATTTAATTCATAAATTATGAAATTACATTAATAGATAGTTTGTCAATCCAATAGCACAAGAGAATTTTGATGGAAGAGAATTGGAGAGAAAATAGATAAATTTTGTAAATTATTTAAAATGTGCTATTTTTTAAGAAATGACAACAGAATGATTATGATTAATATATTTTTAATTTTAAGAGGACTAATATCACTCTCTTCATTTTTAATTATTAATTTTTTAAATTGCTAAGTGAGTGGCTTAATAACTAACCAAGTAAGTTAATTAATAATAAGTTTGGTTGGTTACTTGACCAACAAGTTATATATATATATATATATATATATATATATATATATATATATATATATATATATATATATATATATATATATATATATATATATATATATATATATATATATATATATTCAGTTAAGTCATTTTGCTCTTTGCTATAATGTGTTTTATTCTTTGCAACATAAGTTTGGTTGTGGTTTAATACAAGGGAGATTTGGTATCAATACTAGAAGTGAAGTGGTTTCGAAACTAGAGCAATTGTTTAAATATCAATGAGAGTTTTGGTTTTCGATGCTAGGAAGAAGTATTTTGATACTTGAGTTGGTTTTGATACCATAAAGTTTTTTTTCAATCCTTGGGTTGGTGTTGATACAAGGGAAACAAGAAAGAATTATGAGATGTCATATCATTGGAAAGGATCGAGAGAGTAGTGATATTTTCAATGTTTTTGATTAGCAAGAATGAATATAAATGGTGGATTTTTCATCAAAAACTATGATTCTTGATGAATGTAATTTGAAAAAATGGCTTGTTTTGATAAAATCGTTGTTTGGAGTTCAAAAAGTGCTTGGGATTGATAGAGGAACTGTGAGGTCATGAAAGGAAGTTCAAAAAGAAGAAATTTGTTCCTTCCTGCCATACTATTATATAAATCTCAAAATGTTATAGTTTTACACATAAATTCTAAAATGCTATCTTTTTTAAAAAAATTCAATTTTTGACATAACGTAACCGCTCATCCATTGGGCGGCAGTGTTTTATGCAGATTTGGAAACCGCTCGTCCATTGGACGGCAATATGTCTGAATTTTTTTTTCGTTTTATTTTTTATTTATTATATTTAGTTAATTATAAATAATAATTGTTAAAATAATTATAAATAGATAATATTATTAATTATAAATAATAATCATTAAAATAAAATAATTATTAAATAGATAATATTATTATTAAATATAATAAATAGATAATATTTAGATAATTATTATATTTATTACATTGTTTTTTATTTATTATGTTTATTATATTTAGTTAATAATTATTAAATAGATAATTATAGTAAATTAAAATAAAATAAAATAAAAATAATTATTTTAAAAATAGTACTAATTAAAATAAATTACTACATTGAAATATATAATAATAATTATAAAAAAATACAATAAATAAACTAAAATAAATAATTATTTATTCTTGAAATAAAAAAAGTACATTAAAATAAATGAACTAAAAATTCCTATTCACCCTTAATTAATTTTGACCCGGTCGACGTAAGCGTTAGTGGGTTCCACGGGCAGGAGCTTGTACATTTCTGGTGGACCTTCTACGATCAACCTCAGCGTTTTGGGTCTGTGTAGATGGACCTGCATCATTGTTAGGGTTCATGAATTGAGCGACCAAATCATCATTGAAATCGTCGTCACATGAATTGGGCAACATATTATAGACTAGGATATTTATTTGCTGAAAGGGGTGAAAAGTGGAGTGTTGTGTTGAATTCTGGCCAAACATTTACAGACAACTGTCTCAAGGTTATGAAAGAAGAAACAACAAAATCCAGCACACATCAAGTCAGAATTTTTGACTACAGGAACAATGTTTTCAGTGTGCAGGAGACAATGGACGATGGTGAGGGGAAACATATGGGACATTATAAGGTCGACCTCTTGAACGGGTGGTGTGACTGCGGAAAGTTTCAAGCATATCGTGTCCCTTACTCACATGTTATCGCTGCATGTTCGAATGTGTGCCACGACGCTTACGCTATTTTGTCCAACGTTTATAGGGTTACAAACTTGTTTGGGGTTTACAGCGCAAGCTTTCCAATGATGACGTGCGATGAATATTGGCCCATTTATGAAGGAGATCAAATTTGCCATAACCCAAGAATGCGGAGAAACAAGAAAGGTCGCCCTGTGAGCACACGTATTATAACAGAAATGGATAACTTTGATAAGCTTTAGAGGAAATGTTCCATGTGTCGTCAAACGGGTCACAATCGCACCCGGTGTCCCAATGTGGGAACAAGTAAAATGAATTTGGTCTTGGTCACTACCGCCCTTCCACTGGGCGGCTCACTTCAAATTTCAACATAACCGCCCAATGAATGGGCGGCTTGCTTAAGCCAAAAAAAAAAATCATTTTTGAAAGAATGGCATTATGGAATATATCATGAAATTAATGGTATTTTGGATATTCCTGCCCAAAAAGATGGCAGGACATTAAAAAATTCCAAAAAGAAATGCAAATAAAGCTTCAATAATGTAAATTGGTTATACAATGGCAAGTCAAACGTTGATGAGAAAATTGAATACTCCAAGAGAGAATAAGTTTCTAACACCCACCAATCAAAAAAGAAAGAATTTGATAAAAGCAAGGTGTGATGCTACAATTGTGAAAATTTTGGACATTATGTTGATGCGTGTAAGCATAAAAAAGAATAGAGGAAGAATCAAATAAGTGATAAAGAGGCTCATAGAGCTCATGATAATCAATACAGCTTATAAGATGTTTGTTGATGTATATAACTTGTGAATGCAATTATATGTGTGAGTTATGGTATCCTGACTTATGATTGTTGGGTGAGAATATGGAAGTAAAAAACAGTCTATAGGAGGCGAGTAGGCGAGTAGACCCTTATTTTAAAAAATTCAACCATTTTTCAAAAACAAAATATCGGTGATATTTTTAAAGTGCACACAGAAGATTTGAAACGAAAATATAAACATTATACTTTTGTTAGAACTTGATCACATTAATCCTTAATCAATCTACAAATACCAAAGATGGTTTCATGATGATAAACAAAGTATTTAATTGATTCATTTGTATGAGGTGTGTTTATACAATAATTTAATATCAATGAGTTTTAACCTCAATTGTTTCTCATAATTTAATCACCATTTCAGCTTGATTAAGCACCAATTCTAATAAAACCAAAGCTTATGTAATAAATCGCTACCAATTAAATAAACGATAAACTACGCTAGAATTGTAATATCTAAGCATTCAAATCCTACGAAAACTAAATGCAAGAGTAAGGGAGAGAGATGACACCGAGAGTTATAGTGCTTTGGTGTTTGTCATCGCTTTGCTTATGTGCATTCTTCAATAGTTTTCCATTGGAAACTGCATTTGTTCCTTTTTATTTGAAAAATATTTGTAATAGTTCATAATCACCAACCCACAATAATGCTGAGAAAAATAAATATTTTATTTGGATCTTGACTTGTATACAGCGTAATGCCAAACTCTTAGGTGTAATCTTTACTCGATTGACGTTTCTTGCATCTACCAATATCACCAATCTATTATAAGCCTTCATGTGTAGAAATCACCCCTTGATTATACTGATTCCTTGAACAGTGAATTTTACGAATATTTAAGAACTCTGTCTTGTCCATAGTCTTCCACACAATCACTACCAAGGCAATCTAGAAAGAAAAACCTTCTTTTTCTCACAGGAATTTATCAGCACCAATGACAACAACTTCAATCTTACAAACCACTTGAAAATCTCAATCAAATCTTCAAGAACAATTAGTTTCAAGACGGCGTCTCCCTCAATCAATTATACATCTCTCATTATCAAGATCTGAAATCAAATTAAGGTTGAATATGAAAGAAATTCGTTAAAAGAATTTTTAACTTTCAAAATCAAAGGATGTTGGTTTTCACATAATCACAATGAAGATTATGAAAATTTTATAAGTTTTGTTATGTGAAAATGATGACAAAAAGAATTTATATGTGCTTGAGATTAAGCATACAAATGAATGGAAAAAATTAGTTAGATTCGAATCAAGAGCATTTCATGATTTGAGTCAAGTGACTAAGTGAAGTGGAATAAGAAGAAAACAGAGTTTTAACTCATTTCTCATCTGGTTTGAATCAAGAACAAATTCAAATTTGCATCAAAGACCCTGTGATTCGAATCAAGAGTTAATTCTATTTCAAATCAATTCACACAGAGGCAAATGGAAAATGTTAAAAAATTGTCTGATTTGAATCAGGTGTAAAGTATGATTCGAATCAAATCAACCAGAGGTGACCAGAAAATGCCTAATTTGAATTAGATGCAAATTTTGATTCAAATCAAAGTGTTTGAAAACCTTTGGTTTGCCTCTGTTCAATTTGATCCGGATCAAGTTTTGTGCTTACTTCGAATCAAACACACATAATCTCAATTTTTCATAGCTTTCGAAATACTTTGAGAATTTTCTTTCCAACTAACTTTAATCAATAACACATATGGTTCTTATACCATTGACCAATGAAATTGGATAAAAGCATCATGGTCAAGTTCAAACATAATCATTGGTTTATGCATGCTAAAGACGAATCATTTCAAACTTGATTTAGAAATGGTATGCAATTATGAAGGAGAC